GAAATGAACAGATATTTCTCAGATGAAGAAGTAAAAGCAGCAAGTAAATATGTGAAAAAATGTTCAACATCACTGGTCATTTGAGAGATGCAGATGAAAACAACACTGAGATTCCACCTCACTCTAGAAAGAATGGCTGCTATCAAGAAATCAACCAATAACAAATGCTGGCAGGGATGTTGAGAGAAAGGAACCCTTCTCCATTGTTGGTGGGAATGCAGACTGGTGCGACCACTGTGGAAATCAATATGGAGATGCCTCAAAGAACTAGGGCTACAGGCCCCATTTGACCCAGCTATTCCTCTACTGTGTATCTTCCCCAAAGAATTAATAGAATCATACAGTGATATATGTGCACTTATGTTCATAGCGGCACAGTTTATAGTAGCTAAAGCTTGGAAACAGCCGAAGTGCCCATTGACTCGAAACTGGATAAAGAAGATGTGGTTCTTTTTATAAAATGGAGTACTACTCAGCCATAAAGAATGAGAAACTAGAGACATTTATAGCTAAATGGATGCATATTGCGATACTCTTAAGTGAAATAAATAGGACGCACATGTGTAAATTCTGAATAGTTTCTCTAGTGTGAGAAACTGAAAGTGTAAATAAGGATGAAAATGATTAAAATGAATAATTGATTAATTTGCAATAGGAAAAGGTCCAAAGGGGTAGGGGTGGTGAGAAGGGAAGGGGAAAGGGAAGAAAGGAAAGGAAAAATTATGAGAAAGAAAAAAAAATGGAAACAAAGTCTATGTAACTAGGGAAGGGTGGAGTGGGTGAAGGGCGCACAGATAATGGGGGAAAACATAAGAACTAAGACACATCATATTCAGGTACAAACACCCAATGATAAATGTAAACATATTGTATACCTAAAATGTACCAATAAATATATTTTTAAAAAAGACACCATTTATGTTCAAAAATAGTTTTCTGCTGCCACTTGCTCCCTTCTCCTCTGCACCATTCCTCCAATGGCCGAATCTCATGGTGCTCTTGCTGTCTGTGTGCATCCTGCAGCTGGGGTTGACTGCCTTTCCCCCAGGATTGCCACAGGGTCTAGCACACAAGAAGCACAAGATAGATGATGAGCCTTGCAGAAGAGGCTGATCTCTTGAGTGTGCATGAGTGACGAACAGGAAAATCATGCTGTTTCGGAGGGTTGACTGGCAGTGTCTCATGGCAACCAGTGGCGGGTGCATTCCCACTGCAGCCACTTGGCGAAAACACAGGTTAAGAAATGTGCCAGATCTCCAGTTAATACTCTGATCTGGATGTTAGAGCATCCAGTGGGCTATCACAGGGCACAAAGGTAGGTGCTGGCCTACCCATCAACACAGTTCTTGCAGGTTCAATAAAGTTGAACCTCAAAAGTTGGTTCTCACATTTTTCCAACTGCAGTATCCCTGCATGGTGTATGAGTTTGTGGTTACACAGAACATGTGTCTGTACAGGCAGACACAGAGGCAGGAGATCATGGCATGCTTGGTGGCTGGAGAAAACAGTGGAAGGTAACAGTGCTCATTCACCCATGGGAAGCTGTGTTGTGGTGAAAGTGAGCCAAGGAAGTGCTGGACAGATGGTTCTTGCGGAATGGTCATCTTTTCTACAGCTCAGCTGTTGTCTCCAGCCACCTAGCAGGCTGGGCTATTGAAGTCCTTGCCCAAAGTCTTGGATACCTGTTCCTTGTGGGTAGGCTGGTCATGGCTCTTTAGGCATCTTGCCATTCTCTTGGGAACCTGCCACGTGCCAGCCCCTCTGGGCTGGATCGAGTCAAAAACTGGCAATTTAGAGGCTCTGTTGCTACAAAAGGACCTGTGATTTGCTAAGAGCCTACTAAGTTTAGTTTTTATATCACATGAGAAAAATAAGTGCATTGTATGCAAGAGGGATTAGAGCTTAAAGGATTAAAATATCCCAGGAGTGTCTTGTTCTAGAATCTTTACTGTTTCTCGCTCTTTCACATTGGGAAGATTACAATGGCAGGGATTGTGTGAAAAAATCAGAAAAGGTATTCTTTAGGTATGTGGATATTCCACAGTACCTGTTATGGATTCAAGAGAGCAGCCACCACAGCCATTTAAAGACTTGAGACATGCTGGAGAATATTCAGAAACAGGTGTGATCTAGAGGAGGAAAAGTAATTCCAGGAAGCTGTTCCAGGGCTATGAGCAGATGCAAGTAATTCCTTAATCGCAGGAGGGCCTCACTTCTTTAGACTATCCAGAGAACTGGGAGGAGGCCAGTTACCTGGCAAATAAAATGATAGTCATAACTCAGGACAGGAAGGATAAATGCAGGTGGAAAGAAGTTAGTTTAAATAATTTTCAAGAGTATCTTCTAATCTGAGTTGCTAGGGTGGAGGGAAGAGCATGGATTTATCTTGGACAAGTCCCTGAGCCCCAGTCCCCTTATTTTTGAAATGAGGTCATAATATTTAATTTGTTTTGAGAAGCAGGGATAATGAATGTAAAATAGCCCCCAGTGGGTGTTCTGTAAATTGTGTGTCTTATTAACTTCTCACACAGTGCTCCAGTTCTCACCAGCTGTGCCCTAGGGATAGAAAAGGATCCTTTGCAGTGACTTGGTTGCGAATAGGTGGTATCCTGAAAAGCCAAATTAGCCTCCCCCAGCCCCCACACATTCTTGTACCATGTATTTTAGCATCTCCCCTTTTCAGAGGCTGTACCTACTCAGTGGAAATTGCTACACTTCTTAATTTGTAATTCTAAAAACACATGGCTTTTCAGGCCAGCATCTTTGGTTTATTGCTGCTCTATGGTGCCTTGAACTCTGCAGCTGTGGTCCCATGGGTTGTGCAGAGCAGAGCAGGTGCACTTGGAGGCAAGGAGCAAACCCAAAATCAGTAAAAGAGAAGAGGTTTGGAGGACAAGCTCTGCATTAGCGGATGGATAAAGCCCCAAGAAGACAACACATACAGTAGGTCAAGACCATCCTTTCCAATATGGGCTGGTCTTGTGAGTTTCCTTCAATGGCAGGTGATTAGCTATTGAGTGTATGCGCACTCAGATACACTCAGAGTGTATCTGAGCCATGTTAAACAATGATTTGCAAAGACCCATTGCCTTGCCATGCCTTCTACATTCCTTCCATCTTCCCCCTTTGATCCAGTGTCCACAGTGAACACCCCAAACCCTACGTCATCAAGAGCATGCTCCCTGCTTCAGCCTTCAATGACTCCCAGATACTGACACTAAATATAAACACCTAACATGGTTAAGAGGCCCCATAATATGGCCTCTGCTACCTCTCTGGTCCCTCTTGCTAACCTTCCCTCTTATAATTTGGGCACTTATAACCCTGGCCTTATGGAAGTCCCAGTGCTCACTGTGATGGACCTCACCCTCCCGCCATTGCTCATATTTCTGGATCTTCCTGGAATGACTGCCCTCTTTCCCACTTCCCTTGCCTTTTTCCAGGTTGGTTCCAACCTAATCTTACATATTCTGCTCAGGCCTCATCTCCTCCAAGGAGCCTTCCCTGACTGACATTTACCTGAATCTGGAGCTCTGGCACATGACAGCCCAGCTTCAAGTCCTGGCTCTGCCCATTCCTAACTTGCAGATCTTAGGGGAATTTCCTTTCTCCTTCAGTCTTCAATTCCTGATGTGTAAAACTGGAATTTTGTCAAGGGGATATTCCTGGCAGTAATGCGCATTGAATGTTTAGACCAGTGCCTGGCACTTGGGAGACCCTCAGAAAAAGTCAGTGCTTGTCATCATTGTAGCAGTCATCAAGCATAATCACAAATGTCCACTTGGGCCACTGAGTTCCCTGAAGACAGCAGACTGGAACACTCATTTTCATATTCTAGAACCCAGCCCAGAACTGAATACATGAAGGTCCATGCTGAAGTTACTGCAATATAATGCACAGTACGAGTGCTCAGAACACCATTAACCCCTCCAAAGCTATACGGTGTCAGAGCCTGGCAAGCAGGAGGTCCTGCAGGGGATTTCTGTTGGAGAGGACTCCCTGTCCAGGAGAGGCAAGGCCAGGGCAGGACTGCAAGGTACAACTCCATGGCAGCACTGGTTGGGGATGTGCTGCAGGCTGGGCAACTTCTACTGTAGTCAACCTCCCTCGGGGAATGGTCAAGAAAGGTGACTGTCACAGTTCTGTGGAGGAAGTGCTAGATCCACCCCCAGGAGGCAGAGGACAGTGAGTGAGTTGTTCAGCTTTCAAAGAGGAGCTGAGGAATTGCTTTCCCACAGTGAGGACCGTGATGATTGAGCAAGGTCTCTGATGATGTTGACCCTTCTCTACATTCAGGACCCCAGAAACTCAGTACCAGCAGGAGCTCTTTACATCCAGGTGAAGCAAGAAAATACCCTGGCTCCCAGGGAGATGCTTTCTGAGGCCATAGTTGGTCACATCCTTTCGCGCTCTGCTCAGAAGGAGCTTTTCTCAGAATATACCTTTGATTCTCAGGGACAATGAAAATCTTGAATCTGTTCACGTTCCTTTTGACTGCCAGAGATTGCTTAGAGCATAATCTGTGCCTCACTGTAACTGTACAAGACCCCATGACCTCCTTACCTGCTTTCCAAGTCTACCTCACCTCAGTCTTTTCTTTCCTTTCTAGCTTGTATTTTACAGAGTCCTAACTTCTTATTTGTTTTTCATGCTTTGGCAATGTATTCTTGAATGCTGCTCCAGTTCCTTCAGGCAAATAAACAAAGCAACAAACCAACCCACAAGCAAATGAGGTACAATTTCCTCAGGCAGACATTCTGTATGTGCCGAATGTCGTATGTGATTGGACACAAGGACTAGACCTAGGAGTTTCAGGAGATGGCAGCACACATCCAACCTGGAAGTCAGGGTCACTACCTTCCCTCCATGGCAGCACCTTTGCTGTGGTGCTATTTCTGTGTAGTGTTACAGAAACAAATATTTCCTGGCGTGCTTGGGTACTGGGTAGCCTCGGTCTCATACATCAGTGTCTCATCGGGTGACACCAGCTCTTTCCTTACCTTTATTCCTTGCCCGAGGCTTTCCAAAGAATTAATATCCAGCCCCTCTTTGCAGGCCTGCAAGCAGGAAATCACCTTTTGGCTTTCCATTTTCCCAGGGCGGATGGTAAGACTGGCCAGGCTGCCATGGAAGAATTGCGCAAATCGTGGTTTGGCAACTTCGCCTCCTGAAAGAAAAAGAAGCACTGTCACTTACCTTGAGGATACTGGGTAGGAATTATGTTGAGGTTCCAGCTGGCCATTGGGCCAAGGTCACACTAACTGTGTCCCATAAACCTGAAGGAGTGCGTGTGTGCTTGGGGAAGTCTTGAGTCCTGTGGGAACCCCAGTCCACTATCACCCACATGCAAGTGTTCAGAGTGTTATGTTGCAAACCCTTCCTGGCAGCCACATCTTTCCATCTTCTCCCTGGTTTCCAAGTCAGGCCTCCCCTGAGGTCCTATTGCAGGAGGCTCCTCCAGGCAGCCTTTCTCACTGGCTTTACTCTCCACCTCTGGACAGTCTACATACACAAAACTTGTCTGGATCTTATGTGAATATTTGTTCAGAAAGGAAGCAGAACAAGGAAGAAATAGGGAGCTGGACTGCCTTACAGCTTTGCTAGTTTCCTGGAAACATTTCTGTAAGCTCCATGAGCCTCTTTGGCTTACAGGACACACTCTGGGTTTTGCATCTTGTTTCCCTAGGCCAGTGATGGCAAGTCTATTAAAGGATGAGTGCCCAAGCTGCAAACCAAAACCCAATTATTTATCAGAAAGTGCCAGCACTGCAATTAAACCTGCATATTGAGGTTTTAGTTTCGAAAAAAAAATAACTCATACGTTTGGCTCGCATGCCAAAAGAGAGGGCTCTGCATGCCCCGTTCTGGGATGTGTGTCATAGGTTCACCAGCACTGCCGTAGGCTGTCTCAGCTAAGGAGTTCCTATGGCTTCCCAAGCATTCTGTGGTTTGGTAGCAGAGTGTGCTGCATGGGGACACCCCTGTGAGTGGCTTCTCCAGCTCCCTGGAGAGCAAGTTTCCAGCAAGCAACACCATGGAGGCCTTTCTGCCCTTTAGTGAGTCTTGCTGTGCCAACAAAACTTAGACTTCAGTGTATGGAAGGCAGGCTCTCCCTGGGGCGCTCCTCTCATCCCTGGAGGTAGTGAATAATCCTCACATGCACTATTTTTATATTCCTTAGAGTTCTCTTTACTAGAGAGTAACTCCTTGCTGCTACAATCCCCTGTTAGATTTAGTACTGCTTTATGATTTCCTGTTGAAATGAATCTGGACTCTCTCCCTTGATTGCATCAAGACTGATGTACCACATATCTTCATTTATCCTTGTTCCTCCTCACAATGAGACTCCTCCTACACTGCCTCCCTGTGGCTCAGATTAAGAAAATTTTAGTTTCTTTCCCAGGCCCCTTAAACTCCCTATCTCCAGTTGCTCACTGAAATCTTTCCCAGATCCCCTGTCTACCATGTCCTCTCCTACCCTGAAACCCTTCCCCACCACACCCTGTCTCTGCCCTGAGCTCTGCTGTGCCCTCTCCCTGCCTTAAGCCTTGGGCTGGGGATGGTTGATTTTAATGTATCCCCCACCACTTGGCTGGTAGGAAAATGATTTACATGTATGTGTATTATGCCCTCAACAGCCTAAAATTGAGTTTTTCAACCTTGGCTATGTTTGTCAATCATCTGGGGATCTTTAAAAAGATAAGCTGATGCCTGGTGCTTGGTCCCACCCTTAGAGATTCTGATTTAATTGGTATAGGACATTTTAAAAGCTTCTTAGGTGAATCAGATGTAAAGCCAAGGTCAATAACCATTGAGCTTTAAGCTTCTTGAGGTTTTGCATACTCCTCATGTTTTCTGTCTCCTTGATGCCACTCGCAGGCTTACCATTCACACGCTGTTATAATTTATTAGTTTAAGTCTCTGTCGCTCTCTCTCCTGGATAGCAAGGATTACTCATGCATTATTCATTTTAATGAAGACAATACTGAGCAAGTATTAGGGGCTGAGGGTTGCACCAGGCACTTTGCAAACATTGACTCATTTATTCTTCCCAACAACGCTTGGTCTCTTCTATCCTCTTGGCATCCTGCACTCTGCCTGGTACACCACAGATATTTTATAATTGGCTGCTGAATTGAAGGAAGTGGTAAGTTGAATACTAGCAGATCAGAGGTTCTTATGACTGTCTCACCAACATCAGTCTCCTTCTTTCTGTCTTGCTAAGGCAGCCTAGAATACTAGGGAACTGACTCAGTCTCCAGGAGCAGGCTCTATTTAATTTAAGCTAATTAGTATATGTCATCCCTGTTGCTCCAGGGACGGATTCGAGGGTGGAGCTGAAACTCAGTACCAAGAAGCCATCAGCACATGGCATTCAATAAGCCATAGAAATTGGTCCAGGAATAATAATGGGACCAAGTGTAGGCTAATGTTATGAGAGTTGCTGACTGGCAAAACAACACAAAAACAACTTTCCACTTTTCTCTCCAGAAAGTTTGCAAACTCTTGCTGTCTTTCCCTGGAGATCATTAAGATGGAAGGCCAAGGGCCACAAGAGCCTTCTTGCCCTTAGACTGGGGACAACAAGGGCAGTTCAGGGAGGAAGGCAGAGCCAGGTGAGTCACGGCAGGATTGAGCAGAACCAGTGGACATCCTCACTGCTGTGCTTTGGGATGTATTCCGCTGTGGGAGTCATTCATCTATCTTCATGGGTTAAGCAATTTTGAGTCAAAATGCTGTTTGTTGCTTGATAGCCAAAGATTCATTCTGGAAATGAATGATGTCTCTTTTGAGACATTTAGGAATTTTGAATGATGTCTCTTTTGAGACATTTGGGAATTTTAAATAGATTTGGCTTTGAGGAATGGCCTGAGATGGTCCATCGCAACAGGGAAGCCAATTTAAGGTGTCTAATCTAGGACCTCAAAGCCCCCATGGATAAAGTGCTCCTCCAAGCCATTAGCATGTCCCTGCCCCAGCAAAGGGGTATCTTTGTTGACCTGCAGAGAGAGAGCACGAGTGTGGGTGTGGATAGGTGCTCCTCTCCAGGCTCCCAGATGGCCTCTCCCTTGTTTTGTCCTTATCTTGGAATAGCAGATCCATCAACTATCATTTATTGGGCATTAAATACATACCCAATCCCATGTGAAGTACTAAACATACATATTTCATTGAATTGTCATAAAGCCCCTGGGAAGTAAGTACTCATTCTGTATTTATAGATGGGTGAATTTAGTGTTAAAGGGGGAAGTAAGTGGCCAAAGGCCACATTACAGGAAGTTGTAAAGTGTATGTCCCTGTAATGTGTGTATATCCATCCATGCACAGCACCAAGTAGGTGTCCTGGTGGTGCTGGCCAGCCAGCCTGGTCCAAAGTGAGGCTATGATCTTTCATCCACCCCTCCTCCACTTCTCACTTAGCAGCTCCATCCTCTAGGGCCACACTTTGTGACTTTTTGGATGTTATGACATTTTCCAAAACACATTCATGTTTTGTATTTTTTATTCAAAATGTGATGCCCTCTATTTATTAGTGACAAGGCTCCAGGAAATCAATTCAATTAGCATTTTGCAATGGTAGGCCAGCATAAAATATGAAATATATGTGCATCCAGTGGTGGTTGTGATGTGGGATTCTAAAAAATAATATATAACATTGAAAACTTTCTGTTTAATATCTAGGGTATCTACATAGACTGCATGGCTCCTATATTAACATTTAAAATAAGAATAGTTATGAATCACTTTAAGAAAGCAAATAAAACCCAATTTCTTCCACAAAGTACTTTCTTTAATTGTTTGCAAATGTGATTTTGGATTCCTGAGGCTAGATTGACACCCATTTTAAAAGCATTTTCTGTATGCCCAGTATTCTTAGATACAGCTAATTACAAAATGTGGAACATGTTCTTCAGAAGCTTATTTTGAATTGAGAGAATGAAGTAGAGACACTGGTGAAGTAAAGTAAAAATATAAGAATAAATTGCTAGTATAATAAATATTCTAAGGCAATGCATGATTTATTTTCAAATATGTGAAATAGGTTAGAGGGAGAAAATAGCCACCATTTGTTAGGTCTGAATGTGGCAGGTTTCTTCATATGCTATGTTATTTATTCCTTAAGTGGTGGGGCAGCAACTTGGAGGTCTTAGCCTTTTTTTTTTTCTTCTGTATTTCTCTCATCTCACTTCCATTTAAACACACCTCTGGTCTGCCATAGGAAGGAACACAATGAAGTGTAAGCTGTGTTTCTCCACTGTGGTTTCCAGAAGCCTAAACCCTTAGGAGGGCAGGGAAGACCAAGGAATAGATCCACAGTGGGGGAAGAATAGAGGAAAAGAATCTGGCTCCTCCAGATGAGGTGGGGGCGAGGGTGGCAAGGAGGAGGTAGAGAGGTTATGATATCAGAGCTGCAGAGTGAAGGCACCTGAAGCAATTTCCTGGGCAAGGGTGTATGCTGCCCTGGGATAGCTGGGCAGATAGACCACAGATGGATTTACAGAGAAAGAATGAGGAGCAGTAGAAGTTTTAGTGTACCCCAAAGAAGGCAAGGAAATACCAGGTCAGCTGCCAGATCTGAAGGACCATTAATGACCGAGGGCTGCCAAAAACGGTAGTCACTATTTCAACGGGATGCTTGTGAGGGAAGGTGCCTTGGGCTCTTCAATACCCTAGCACTATACAACACCCTCTTTTTCTCTTTGTGAATTGAGATTCTCACCTGCTGTATTTAGAACTGCTTTTATAGAGCACAAGTTTTGATAACATTTGTAGGGCCTCCTAGCCAGATGTGAGTGAAGCCAAACTTCAAATTCAGGTCTTTCCCAAGCCTTTGTTCTGCACATCACATAATGAGATGTGTCCAGGGAGGGTCAAGGAGGGTTTCTCAAAGAGGGACAGATTGGGACTGACCTGACACTGGGGACAATGCCTGACCACAGTGGGCTCTGTAGACACCAAATGGTCTCAGCAGTGACTCCCAATGATTAGTGTCAAGTTTCTGAGAGACATAATTATCTTGAACAACAGAAGTGCCGTTGGCCCTCTCTATCCACAGGTTCCATGTCCACAGATTCAACAAGTCACAGATCGAAAACATTTTAAAATATTTTTTTCTTTTCATCAACCTTCTTTTTTCTTGTTGTCATTTTCTAAACAATACAGTAT